TGGAGCTTCAGGAAATCTATAGGGGAAAGTGGAGCTTGAGAATGATCCACAGGGGAAAGAGGGGCACAAGAAAGATATATAGGGGAAAGTGGGGGTTCAGAAAAATCTATAGGGGAAAGAGAGGCAGAATAAAGATCTAAAGGGGGTAGCCTTGGCAGGGAATCATGGCCAGGACAAGGGAGCAGGCTCTGCCCACAAGGACCAAAAGTGTTGGGGTTTTAATAGAGACTGGAAGGTTATCTGTCGGGAGTGTTTTTACGGTGTCTTCCTTTACAGCAGAAAGGGGTTGGACTGGATGGCCATTGTGGTCGATTTGAACTAGGTTCTATATATTAATAATGATGATATTTGATATAACCCAGAATATCAAGGCAAAAATATATCTGGATTATATGAGTTCACACTGCCATATATTCCAGTTCAAAGCAGATAATGTGGGATTTTATTCAGCTGTATGGAAGGGGCCTAAGTGAGAGATCTCTGTGTGTATGTGTTTGCAGAGAAAATGCCTGCCAAAATCCTGGATGGAGGTATCAATTACACAGGGTTGGTTTGTTTTCTGCAGAGGTGTCCTAAAACATTGGGGGGGGGGGGTCCCTTTCCTCTCATTTCTGCAACCTATTTCAGTCAGTACAGCAGGCTTTTGGTTAACGGGAACTCTCAAGCAACCGGCACACACACAAAAAACACCCCAAAGAAATAATACTGCATTCACAAAACTGTTATTATAAGAATATTATACACTGTATACAATATACACAATATAATAATATATAGGGATAATAACATTGCAATATATATATATATATATATATATATATATATATATATATATATATATAATTTATATATATAAAATATATATTTTATATACTTTTTATATATCCCTATATATAAAAGATATATATAAAATATATAACATATATATATATATATATATATATATATATATATATATTACAATGTTCCCTCTTATAGATTACTACAACTTACGATATAGTACAATGTATTATATAGTACTAATAGCATAACATACTATTAGTGTGTTATGTATACTGTGGTAGAATAATACAGTACAATATAATAACATATAATAATAGAATAATTGTATATTATATATGACTAATAATATTGCAGTATAGTAGTATAGTACAATGTGATAATATAATTATGTATTATATATAATACTAGCCACCCTCTGCCACGCTTTGCTGTGGCCCAGTCTTTGTATATGTGTTTTTGTGTGTGTATATGTGTGTATATATTTGTGTATATATGTGTGTTTGCGCATATATATATATATATATATATATATATGGTTTTTACATGCATTGTAATGTATTTTTATTTATTTTTTACTTTTTAAATCTCTTCTGCTGCGTTTTTCAGTGTTTTTATGAGCGACAGTCACTCGTTGGCCTGATAGGTGTATTGTGTCCAAATTTAGTGTCAATTAATCCAGTGGTTTTTGAGTTATGTTAATCCCAAAAACCAACATTACATTTTTATTTATATAGATGAGTAATAATATTGCAGTATTATTACAGAAGTATAGTACAAGGTAAATCAATTGATGTTTTGTCTTATAACAGGCTGTGCTTTTTATTTAATTTTAGTTTTTAAGTTATAATTCGTATTTACATGTTGGGTTGTATAAATTTTGTTAGCATGGATGTATTGTTGTTGTATTCGGACATTGAATGTTTGCCTTTTTATGGTTGGAATCCGCCCTGAGTCCCTTTGGGGAGATAGAGCGGAATATAAATAAAGTTTTTATTATTATTATTAAACATAATAATTGTATATTTTATACAATATGACGAATAGTATTGTAGTATAGTACAATGTAATAATATAATAATTGTATATTGTATATAATATGACTAATAATATTGCAGTATAGTACTATGTAATAATATAATATAATAACTATATTATATATATATGACCAATCATATTGCAGTATAGTAATATAGTACAATGTAATAATATAATAATTGTATATTATATATATGACTAATAATATTGCAGTATAGTACTATGTAATAATATAATATAACAACTGTATATTATATATATATGACCAATCATATTGCAGTATAGTAATATAGTACAATGTAATAATATAATAATTGTATATTATATATAATATGACTAATAATATTGCAGTATAGTAGTATAGTACTATGTAATAATATAATATAATAATTGTATATTTTATACAATATGACTAGTAATATTGCAGTATCGTAGTATATTACTATGTAATATAATATAATACTTGTATATTATGTACAATATGACTAATAATATTGCAGTATAGTAGTATAGTACTATGTAATAATATAATAATTGAATATTATATACAATATGACTAGTAATATTGCAGTATAGTAGTATAGTACTATGTAATAATATAATATAATAATTGTATATTATATATAATATGCCAAGTCATATTGCAGTACAGTAGTATAGTACTATGTAATAATATAATATAATAATTGTATATTAGATATGACTAATAATATTGCAGTTTAGTACAAAATAATATAATTATATATTCAATATATGACTAATAACATATAACATATAACATATATTTATATATCATATAATATATAATAACATTCAACTATATAATTTATATATAATTCTATATTCTATATGATATTTATTTATTTACGACATTTATATGCCGCCCTTCTCACCCCGAAGGGGACTCAGAGCCGCTTACAAGGTATATATTACATTCAGTACATTATGTATTATATTGTATTACATTACAATAATATTATTAATAATATTATATATGTGTGTGTGTGTGTGTTATATTATTAGCATAGCACAACATTAGTATTATATATTCTTACATTGTACCATACTACAATGTAGTCATATTATAATTGTATATTTATATTACATGGAATATTACTAATAATAATTCTCTCACACCAGAAGCAACTTGCAGTTTCTCAGGTTGTTCCTCACACGACAAAAAACAAAACAAAACAAATAATATTACAATATAGGGGTATGGTGCAATATAGCAATGTTTAATGTAGATACTGTACTGTGCTAATATTATATACATACATACATATAATATTATTAATATTATAATGTAATACAATATAATATATAATAATATTGTAATACAATAACACTAATATACAATTATAATATGACTAATAACATTGCAGTATAGTAGTATAGTACAATGTAATAATATATAATACTAATATTGTGCATCCTTGAAGTGACTGGCTTGACTTTGAAGGAGCTGGGGGAGGTGACGGCTGACAGGGAGCTCTGGCGTGGGCTGGCCCATGAGGTCACGAAGAGTCGGAAACGACTGAACGAATGAACAACAACAACAATATTGTGCTATGATAATAATATTATATATATACACACTCACACACACACACACATTATTAATAATAATATTATAATGTAATACAAGCTGGAATGTGTCCAGAGGAGGGCGACTAAAATGATCAAGGGTCTGGAGAACAAGCCCTATGAGGAGCGGCTTAAGGAGCTGGGCATGTTTAGCCTGAAGAAGAGAAGGCTGAGAGGAGATATGATAGCCATGTATAAATATGTGAGAGGAAGTCATAAGGAAGAGGGAGGAAGATTGTTTTCTGCTTCCTTGGAGACTAGGACTCAATGGAACAATGGCTTCAAACTACAAGAGAGGAGATTCCATCTGAACATGAGGAAGAACTTCCTGACTGTGAGAGCCGTTCAGCAGTGGAACTCTCTGCCCTGGAGTGTGGTGAAGGCTCCTTCTTTGGAGGTTTTTAAACAGAGGCTGGATGGCCATCTGTCAGGGGTGCTTTGAATGCAATATTCCTGCTTCTTGGCAGGGGGTTGGACTGGATGGCCCATGACGTCAGAGCCTTCAGCAGTGGAACTCTCTGCCCTGGAGTGTGGTGGAGGCTCCTTCTTTGGAAGCTTTTAAACAGGGGCTGGATGGCCATCTATCAGGGGTGCTTTGAATGCAATTTTCCTGCTTCTTGGCAGAATGGGGTTGGAATGGATGGCCCATGACTGTGAGAGCTGTTCAGCAGTGGAACTCTCTGCCCTGGAGTGTGGTGGAGGCTCCTTCTTTGGAAGCTTTTAAACAGAGGCTGGATGGCCATCTGTCAGGGTGCTTTGAATGCAATTTTCCTGCTTCTTGGCATGAGGAAGAACTCCCTGACTGTGAGAGCTGTTCAGCAGTGGAACTCTCTGCCCTGGAGTGTGGTGGAGGCTCCTTCTTTGGAGGCTTTTAAACAGAGGCTGGATGGCCATCTGTCAGGGGTGCTTTGAATGCAATATTCCTGCTTCTTGGCAGAATGGGGTTGGACTGCATGGCCCATGAGGTCTCTTCCAAGTCTATGATTCTATGATTCTATAATATATAATATTGTAATACAATAATACTAATATATTAACTGATAATATATAATAATATATAATGATGATACTGTTTTATTATTAGTAAATTTTCAAATTGTATTATCATGTTTCTCATTGTGAGCTGCCTTGAGTCTCCGTACAGATAAATAAGTAAGTAAATAAATAATATGAATATCAAGTCAAGATAGAGGTGGATATACATATAATATTAATATTATAATGTAATTAATATAATATATAGTATTGTAATACAATAATACTAATCTATTAGCTGATAATATATAATAATACATAGTGATAATACTGTTTTATTATTACTAAATTTTCAAGTTGTATTGTCATGTTTTTCATTGTGAGCTGCCAGAGAGAGAAATAAATAAGTAAATAACTAAATCATACATAAATAATATGAATATCAAGTCAAGATAGAGTTGATGGCATAGGATGGGAGACAGTGTCAGTTAGGCCTCTGCCTGTCAAGGTAGGCCTTGAAGGGAAAGGTAGGCCTTGAAGCCTGAGCCAAGGCCGGGCCTTGCGTGGCGCAGCAGCCGCTTTGGCCTCCTGACTGCGGGGAGGGGGGGTTGAAGACTCACCGAAGCCGCCGTGCTGGATGCTGGCGATCTCGGCCATGGCGGCCGGCGAAGGAGGCCCCTTCCTCGGCTGCTGCTTCTCCGCCCGAGAGGAAGGAAGGAAGGAAGGAAGGAAGGAAGGATGCTGCGCGTCCCTCCGAGGATGCAGCCGATGAGGACTGGTCCAGAGGCAGCGCTCGCTCCGCCCACTCCCCGCCACAGGCCACGCCCCTCCAGGCGCGTCATCGGGGAGGAAGCCACGCCCCTCCCTCCTTCCTTCAGTGACTCGGCAGTGTCTTGGGTAGAGAGAGAGAGGGTCCTGCTGTGGGAAGGGACCTCCAAGGGCCATCCAGTCTGACCCCCATTTCTGCCAGGCACTCCACTGTTTCTGATACTTTGTGTGATTTCTTCATGTATTTGGTCATCTCTGATTAGTTTACATTGAAATCACACAAAGTATCAGAAACATTGGAATTACTGAAAAGATGTCAATCTTCATGTATTTGATAGGGAGACACCATCAAAGCCCTCCTGAGAGATGGCCAGCCTCTGCTTTACCATCTCCAGGGAAAGAGACTCCCTCATTATTATTATTATAATAATKATCATCATCATCATTATAGAAATCTTAAGAGCTGGACTGGTCCTAAGGCAGTGCTGGCCAGATAGGAAGACACCATCAAAGCCCTCCTGAGAGATGGCCAGCCTCTGCTTTACCATCTCCAGGGAAAGAGACTCCCTCATTATTATTATAATAATKATCATCATCATCATCATTATAGAAATCTTAAGAGCTGGACTGGTCCTAAGGCAGTGCTGGCCAGATAGGAAGACACCATCAAAATCCTCCCAAGAGATGGCCAGCCAGCCTCTGCTTTAACATCTCCAGGGAAGGAGACTCATTCATTCATTATTATTATTATTATAAAAAATTATTATTATTGTTGTTGTTGTTGTTATAGACATCTTAAAGGCTGGACTGGTCCTAAGGCAGTGCTGGCCAGATAGGAAGACACCATCAAAGCCCTCCTGAGAGATGGCCAGCCTCTGCTTTAACATATCCAGGGAAAAAGACTCCCTCATCAACATTATTATTACCATTATCATTATTATCATTGTCATTATTATTATTATTATTATTATTATTATTATTATAGAAATCTTAAGAGTTGGACTGCTCCTAAGACACCATCAAAGCCCTCCCAAGAGATAGCCAGCCTCTGCTTTAACATCTCCAGGAAAAGAGACTCCCTCATCATTATTATTATTATTATTATTGAAATCTTAAGAGTTGGATTGGTCCTAAGGCAGTGCTGGCCAGATAGGAAGACAACATCAAAGCCCTCCTGAGAGATGGCCAGCCAGTCTCTGCTTTAACATCTCCAGGGAAAGAGACTCCCTCATTATTATTATTATTATTATTATAGAAATCTTAAGAGTTGGACTGGTCCTAAGGCAGTGCTGGCCAGATAGGAAGACACCATCAAAGCCCTCCTGAAAGATGGCCAGCCAGTCTCTGCTTTAACATCTCCAGGGAAAGAGACTCCCTCATTATTATTATTATTATTATTATTATTATTATTATTATTATAGAAATCTTAAGAGTTGGACTGCTCCTAAGACACCATCCAAAGCCCTCCTGAGAGATGGCCAACCAGCCTCTGCTTTAACATCTCCAGGGAAAGAGACTCCCTCATTATTATTATTATTATTATTATTATTATTATTATTATTATAGAAATCTTAAGAGTTGGATTGGTCCTAAGGCAGTGCTGGCCAGATAGGAAAACACCATCAAAGCCCTCCCAAGAGATGGCCAGCCCCTACTTTAACATATCGAGGGAAAGAGACTCCCTCATTGTTATTATCATTATTATTATTATTATTATTATTATTATTATTATTATTATTATAGAAATCTTAAGAGTTGGACTGGTCCTAAGACACCATCAAAGCCCTCCCAAGAGATGGCTAGCCAGCCTCTGCTTTAACATCTCCAGGGAAGGAGACTCCCTCATTATTATTATAATTATTATAAAAATCTTAAAAGTTGGATTGATCCTAAGGCAGTGCTGGCCAGATAGGCAGACACCATCAAAGCCCTCCTGAGAAATGGCCAGCCTCTGCTTTAACATCTCCAGGGAAAGAGACTCCCTCATCATCATTATTATAGAAATCTTAAGAGTTGGACTGGTCCTAAGACACCATCAAAACCCTCTCGACAGATGGCCAGCCAGCCTCTGCTTTAACATCTCCAGGGAAAGAGACTCCCTCATCATCATCATTATTACCATTACCATTATTATTATCATTGTCATTATTATTATAGAAATCTTAAGAGTTGGACTGCTCCTAAGACACCATCAAACCCCTCCTGAGAGATGGCCAGCCAGCCTCTGCTTTAACATCTCCAGGGAAAGAGACTCCCTCATTATTATTATTATTATTATTATTATTGAAATCTTAAGAGTTGGATTGGTCCTAAGGCAGTGCTGGCCAGATAGGAAGACACCATCAAAACCCTCCTGAGAGATGGCCAGCCTCTGCTTTAACATCTCCAGGGAAGGAGACTCCCTCATTATTATTATTATTATTATTATTATTATTATTATAGAAATCTTAAGAGTTGGACTGGTCCTAAGACAGTACTGGCCAGATAGGAAGACACCATCAAAGCCCTCCCAAGAGATGGCCAGCCCCTACTTTAACATATCGAGGGAAAGAGACTCCCTCATTGTTATTATCATCATCATTATTATTATTATTATTTGCTCCTATGTGGATTAGAAATCCCATTGGATCCTATTACAACTGCATTTTGGGCCTATCTGGAGGGGAAATCCCATCTGAACATGAGGAACTTCCTGACTGTGAGAGCTGTTCAGCAGTGGAACTCTCTGCCCCGGAGTGTGGTGGTGGCTCCTTCTTTGGAAGCTTTTAAACAGAGGCTGGATGGCCATCTGTCAGGGGTGATTTGAATGCAATATTCCTGCTTCTTGGCAGAATGGGGTTGGACTGGATGGCCCATGAGGTCTCTTCCAACTCTTTGATTCTATGATTCTAGACAGCGCAGTTTGCCTATTTCCAACAGACCTCACTACCTCTGAGGATACTTATTACTTATTTATTTATTTACGGCGCTTATATGCCGCCCTTCTCACCCCGAAGGGGAATCAGAGCGGCTTACAATATATATTTTCATACAATATATTATATTATTAGCATAGTACAATATCAGTATATATTACTATATTGCACTATACCATTATATTTAAAAATTCAATGCCATAAATACACAACATATATAGACAGACACTCAGAGGCTATTTAACATTCCAGCTTCTGGCCACCAGGGGAGCTGTTGCTTCACCGTCCATTTGTGACACTGATGAAGTACTTCCTCATTCTTTGCATACTTCCTGGAGATTTTTATGGCCTCTTAAATCAGTTAAATTAGCCACCCCACCTTAATGGTAGCTAAATTTACTACTTGACAGATGCAACTGTCTTTCGGGTTGCAAAGGTCGACAACAAGCTACACAATTGGTCGGACACTCACTCCGACCCGGGCTGGCTTCGAACTCGTGACCTTTTGGTCAGAGTGATCTTAATGCAGCTGACACTCAGCCAGCTGCGCCACAATCTCAATGCTTGTCTCGCCTTTCTCCTGCCTCTCGCGCACTGATTGGTCGGAAAGAGGCTTCGTGACTGGCATTCCTCCTCGCCCCGCCCCCGTTTCCAAGCAACGGCTCCTGCTTCTCTTTTCTCTCCCCCCTCCCATCGAGCTCCCCTCTGAGGGAATGTTTTTGGAGGGAAGCGACAATCTTGCGCGCTCCCCGCCCCGCCCTTCTCCTGCCCCTCGCGCGCTCATTGGCTGGCAGGAGGCTTCTTGGCACTTCGCCCCGCCCCCGTTTCCAGGCAACAGCTCCTCCCTCTCTTTCCTTTCCCCCCTCCCATCGAGCTCCCCTCTGAGGGAATGTTTTGGCGGCAAAGTGAGAATCAAAACGTGCACGCGCGCGCACCTCTCTCTCTCGCGCTCCCCCCTCCCTTCTCCTGCCTCTCGCGCTCTCATTGGCTGGCTGGGAGGATTCTTCGCACTTCTCCCCGCCCCCTCCCCCGTTTCCAGGCAACGGCTCCTCCCTCTCTTTGCTTTCCCCCTCCCATCGAGCTCCTCTCTGAGAACGGTCTGAAACCGCATTAAATGGTCAATGTAGACACATAGAATGCAGATAGGCGTCTATATATAATATTATACAACCAGATTCTATAATGTGATTATAATCCAACCATATTGTAATAATATAACACACCACATTATCATCCAACCATATTCTGCTTGGCAGGAAGACACACTCTAATCCCTCCCAACAGATGGCCACCCAGCCTCTGAATCACAGACTCCTCCAAGGTCTTCCAGTCCAACCATATTCTGCTTGGCAGGAAGACACACTCTAATTGGTTAATGAAACAGATTGCACCAAAGCCCTCCCGATAGATGACCATCCAGCCTCACAATTAATGATGATGAATTTTTAATAGGGAATATAGGATCCTACAGTTGGAAGGGTCCCCCAAAGGCCATCCAGTCTGACCCCTTTTTATGCTGTGTAGGAAAAGCACCATCAAAGCCCTCCCGACAGATGGCCATCCAGCCTCATAGAATCCTAGAGTTTGGAGGAACCCCCAAAGGCCATCCAGTCCAACCCCTTTTTCTGCAATGCAGGAAAAGCACCATCAAAGCCCTCCCGACAGATGGCCATCCAGCCTCATAGAATCCTAGAGTTTGGAGGAACCCCCAAAGGCCATCCAGTCCAACCCCTTTTTCTGCAATGCAGGAAAAGCACCATCAAAGTCCTCCCGAAAGATGGCCATCCAGCTTCATAGAATCCTAGAGTTTGGAGGGACCCCCAAAGGCCATCCAGTCTGACCCCTTTTTATGCTGTGTAGGAAAAGTACCATCAAAGCCCTCCTGACAGATGGCCATCCAGCCTCATAGAATCCTAGAGTTTGGAGGAACCCCCAAAGGCCATCCAGTCTGACCCCTTTTTATGCTGTGTAGGAAAAGCACCATCAAAGCCCTCCCGACAGATGGCCATCCAGCCTCATAATGAATTGCAATGAATTTTATT